AATATTTCCTAGTCTTTCATAACGGAAATATTGTTAAGAGCCTTCCGTCGTGAAAACAAAAAAGTTTGTGACGCTGAAAGAGGCCTCCGATTAATGCTACAACCAGTCCATAAATTGTTAAAGCTTCCATAAAAGCCAGGCTAATCAGACGCGAGCCCGTCCTCGGGCGGATTCCTCCTTTTGCGATTGTTCCAGAAGAAATGAAACAAAAGATACGGTAGAGCTAGGAAATAGTTTTATATGGTCCTTTCCTATTTCTTCTATGTCGTAGGGTTAAAACCCAAAAATCCTTGTTGCTTTCCCGATGTTTCCTTACGTTTTCAATAAATAAGATCAGCAAAGCCTTATTTCTTTGGTTAATAAGAACCAAAAGGTTCCACCAACTTGAATGACTTTTTTTTATTAGTATACCCTTTGCTTTTAACATGGACGAAGGAGCTCCGGAGAAGAAGCAATGACGGTATCTGGGGAATAAGCATCGGCTAACTCTGTGCCAGCAGCCGCGGTAATACAGAGGATGCAAGCGTTATCCCTCATCTGGGATCCCTGTGGAAGAGGATCAAGTTGGCCCTTGCGAACAGCTTGATGCACTATCTCCCTTCAACCCTTTGAGCGAAATGCGGCAAAAGGAAGGAAAATCCATGGACCAAGAGCTCACATCGATGGGAAGGTTTGGCACCTCGATGTCGGCTCTTCGGAAGAAAAGGAGGATCCGGACAAAATCGATGAAACGGAAGAGATCCGAGTGAATGGAAAGGAAAAAATGGTCGTCCGTCCGGCTCCATCCGGGTTCTCCTTTGCGGCAAGTTCCTATTTGGAAGGATGCAACTTCTTAATCGTTGGAAGGGGCTGGAATGAAAGAACAAAACAAAAAAGGATTTATGAAGGTCGGGGGGTGGGTGCAGGGCGGACGATTTCAAAGTGGGCTCTCATTCATTAGATAGAGAAGATCCTATTTAAATTGACAGTTTTTTCCAAAATAGATTTGATTTCTCTATTAGACACCTCAGATAACCCATTGGATTGGGGATGATAAGTTGTGGCTATCCTGTGACGGACATTATACTTAGACAACAAACTTCTTATCGCTCTATTCAAAAAATGAGTCCCCTCATCACTTATCAAATATTGAGGGGTTCCATAACGAGTGAAGATATGCTTTTGTAAAAATCGAACAACTACCCTAGCATCATTCGTAGAGGTAGCAACAACTTCTATCCACTTGGACACATAATCAACAGCTAATAAAATATAATTCTTACCATACGAAGGAGGGAACGGACCCATGAAATCAATACCCCATACATCAAAAATTTCAACTTCCAGAATAGGGTTCAAAGGCATCTCATTAAGTTTAGAAATATTACCTGTCCTCTGACACTTATCACAAACCTGAGCGAAGCTATGTGCATCACGGAATAGAGTGGGCCAGAAGAACCCGCTTTGTAATACCTTCGCTGCGGTCTTTTGTCCAGCGAAATGCCCTCCATATGGAGACATATGACAAGCCTCCAAAATTGCTTTTTGCTCTTCCTCCGCTACACACCTGCGAAGGATTCCGTCAGGACCAAGTTTATACAAAAAAAGTTCGTCCCACCTATAATATCTCACATCATGAAGAAACTTGTTTACCTGCTGTCGACTGAATTCATGAGGAATAATACGACTTACCAAGTAATTTGCAATGTCAGCATACCAAGGGACATTTTCAATGCGAAGTAATTGCTCATCAACGAATTGTTCTCGAATCTCTGCTTGACCTTCTGAAGTGGGGATTCGAGCCTAGACAAGTGGTCGGCTACTTGGTTCTCCGTTCCTTTACGATCCCTTACTTCTATATCAAACTCTTGAAGTAGCAAAATCCATCGTATCAAACGTGGTTTTGCATCCTTCTTTGCAAATAAATACTTTAGAGCAGAATGATCAGTATAAACAATTACTTTTGTCCCTATCAAGTAAGACCTAAACTTATCAAAAGCAAACACAAATGCTAACAATTCTTTTTCAGTAGTGGTGTAGTTTAATTGTGCCCCCGTTAAAGTCTTAGTGGCATAATATACTCGATGTAAAAACTTATTCCTTCTTTGACCTAACATGACCCCTAAAGCATAATCACTAGCATCGCACATAAGTTCAAAGGGTAACTCCCAGTTAGGTTCTATAATTATTGGAGCCGAGCTCAAAGCAGTTTTTAAAGTTTCAAAAGCTGTCATGCAATCATTATCAAATACGAATGGTCTCTCATTTTCCAAAAGTTGACAATGATGGAAAAAATACATACGTGCGCAGCGGAAGTGAGCAAGAATAGAAATAACAATCTAGATGCATAATACAACCTAGGATTAAACATGCATGGTCATACATTATGATGCTTAGAGATAAGTAGAGAAAAATACAAACCTTTGTAGCTTTTCAAAAATCTTCAAATAGCTCCAATGAAGGACCACCAAGAGATCTTCCTAGCTATTCTCAAGGCTTGGAATAGAGTGGTGGGACTCTTTTTAGAGAAGGAAAAAATTAGAGAAAAGTGGAGCTAAAAGGARTTATGTAAGCTTTTTGAAAACACATCAAATGGCCAAAGGTTCCAAGARATYTWGATGTTTGAACAAAAGTCTTCTTAAATAGGCAAATTACATGCAACTCTTGCATGTCAAAGTTCACCAAAAGCTTACAACACATATTCCACTCATGCATGGCATGACTAAGTGTCAAAATGCATGTCTAAGTTCACCAAAAGCTTACAGCACACATTTCACTCATGCATGGCATGGCTAAGTGTCAAAATGCATGTTTAAGTTCACAAAAAACTTACAACACACATTCCACTTATGCATGCATGACAAAGTGTCAAAAAGTGGATTTTTGAGATTATTTAAATGTTCCACTCAACAAGTTAGTGGAATTTTCTACCAACTTGGTTAAAAACATTATTTTAATCTACTTTAGTCAACCTTTGACTTTCTCTGGTCAAAGTCAACTATTTGACTTTTTCCAAAATCCGATGTTTGATGAAATCCATGCCTCCGATTATGAATCCRCATTCATAATTTTAATATTTAAATCCTATTTAAATATTTTGTCCAAATTTCTCAAATTGATATCATATATCAATTACTTAATCATATCTCATATGATTAACCTAATTCGTACGWTTTGAATTATTYCTTCAAATTATTCCAAGTTTATTCCTATATGAGCTAGCCAGGGGACCTTATGGACCTACAGATCATGAGCTCCAACGATCCGAGATTAACCGRTTAAACTCTTTAACCTAGTTAACCAACAATCGTTAACTACGCRGTCACTCCACTAAAGCCCGTAGCTGCACTCTCYTCACTGTAGATATATTATGTCMATTTGATATAACCRTGATCGGTAAGTCGACCCTTCACAGGTTGTTCGTAATTACAGCTGGGTCAAAATACCGCTTTACCCCTGTAATTACCTCTTGTTCCTTAAGTCCCACTAATCCTCTGATGAACAATGATTTGTAGTCCAACTATCAAATCAAAAAATCTTCTCAAACCTTTTGATGAGGGTGRYGCCAATTGTTCAAGACCTGGATTCAGCCCTTAAGAGAACAACCTCTCTACTATCCCAAAATTGGGTAGAAGTGAATTCCTTCTTGMACCCTATGTCCCTAGCTATCTACCGGGTCTTACCCYTGAAATGGGAGGCTTATTGAGCCAGCGCTGTTRAGCTRCTCTCACCCATGCAGATCTAAGGATAATCCCGAGTAAACAGAAGTTCATAGTTAGCTCAGGATTAAGATCGAGTTACCTAGGCCATCAAAGTTGAGATAGTCARTTTCAAAYAGTAAACGGTGTTATAAAGYAAAAGTGACTATCTCATGGTCCGGTCTTATGCAAACTCTTTGGACGGGACACCCCCACTCGCATGTCTTCACATGAACGAATTAGGATCACATCATTTGTACTAGCTACAAAGTGGGCCGCATCCATAGTGTCCCCAGAATAAGGCGCCCAACCTTATTCCTATACTATAGACCATTTAGACTGTTAACTCAAACTTGATCCATATTTATGTCTCTTACATAGAGTTTGAGTCTCAGGTAACAGTCTAGGATCCTTTATTTTATTGGATTTAGATATAGTAAGAACATTTTATTGGATCAATAACTACTTATTGATTAAAACCTTCAATAACAACTTTATTGAATGATAAAAGTATATCTGTCATTTTCAAACTATGAGTTTTAGGACATAAAACCCAACAGACAAAGGGGTGAAATCTTTGCAAAATCTTTTATAAAACGCCTATAGAAACCCCCATGGCCTAAAAAACTTCTTATTCCTTTAATATTTGTGGGAGGTGGTAATTTTGAAATAACATCAATCTTAGCACGATCCACCTCAATCCCATTTTTCGAAATCTTATGGCCTAAAACTATCCCTTCTCGTACCATAAAATGAMACTTCTCCCAATTTAAAACAAGATTTGTTTGCTCGCATCTTTRTAAAACATTTTCTAAATTCAATAGGCAATTATCAAAAGAATTTCCAAAAACTGAAAAGTCATYCATAAAAACCTCAAGAATATTTTCTACCATATCCGAAAAAATGGCCATCATACACCTTTGAAATGTCGCCRRTGSATTGCATAGACCGAAAGGCATACGCCTAAAGGCAAATGTCCCATACRGACAAGTGAACGTCGTCTTCTCCTGATCCTCCGGAGCGATGGTAATCTGGTTATATCCCGAATATCCGTCTARGAAGYAGTAAAACTCTTTACCTRCAAGACRATCCAACAYTTGATCAACAAACRGGAGTGGAAAATKATCTTTTTTCRTTACCTTGTTTAGTTTGCGATARTCGATGCAAACTCTCCACCCGCTCACAGTCCGGGTTGATATAAGTTCATTCTCCTTGTTTACCACCACCGTCATCCCACCCTTCTTAGGTACGCAGTGTACTGGGCTCACCCAGCTACTATCTGATATAGGGTAGATGACTCCGGCGTCTAACCATTTCAAGATCTCTTTTCGAACAACCTCTTTCATTTTTGGATTCAAACGTCTCTGATTCTCTATTGAGTTTCTGGCACCTTCTTCCAATAGGATCTTATACATGCAGAATGCAGGGCTTATCCCTTGAATGTCTGCAATAGTCCAACCAATGGCCTTCTTGTATTTTGCCAATACCTGTAACAATGAAAGCTCATTTTCAGTAGTTAAACTAGAAGAAATAATTACAGGCAAAGTTTCATTAAGTCCAAGATAAGCGTATTTCAAGTGAGAAGGTAAAGGCTTTTGTTCCAAAGTGGGTGGTTTCACAATGGATGGTTGCAATGTTTTGCACACTTCTGACTTTATATCCTCTTTTTCCTCTGGTGGATGCATCTCTTCATCTACTTCTGGACAATTAGTTTCTGCAGCCTCTAGTTCTTCCTCAATTCCTATAACTAAAAGATCATAGAACTCATCAAACGAAACAGGATTTGAAGTACTAATAGCTGAACATTCTTCTAAATCTCCTGGAAGTTTCATTGCATCCAACACATTAAATTTCACCTCCTCATTATTAACCTTCATTGTTATTTCTCATTTTCGAACATTAAATACTGTATCTCCTGTAGCTAGGAAGGGTCTACCTAAGATGATAGGTACATCCAAATCGGCCTCACAGTCTAAGATGATGAAGTCTGYAGGRAAGATAAACTTATCTACCTGAACTAGAACATCTTCTATTTTTCCTTCAGGCTTCTTAATGGATCTATCTGCTAATTGGAGGGTAACTGTAGTAGGTCTAGCTTCTCTTATGCCTAATTCTTTGAAAACAGATAGGGGCATTAGGTTAATGCTAGCACCTAGATCGCATAAAGCTTTACCTAAATTCTTTCCTCCAATAGAACAAGGGATGGTGAAACTGCCGGGATCTTTACATTTTACGGGCAAAGGGCTACCTACAGCTTCACTACTACACTTAGTCATAGCTACCATCTCATGTTCACCTAACTTCTTTTTTCTAGACACAATATCCTTCAGKAACTTAGCATAATTTGRCATTTGTTYTAAGGCATCAACTAAAGGAATGTTTATGTGGAGTTGCTTGAGGATGTCTAAAAACTTTCTAAACTGAGTTTCTTGGTTTTTCTTGGCTAATCTTTGAGGGAAAGGAGGGATCGGGACAAAAGATGAATTTTCTTGTGAAGAGGCGCCAGGTGACTCCCCCTCACCCGAGGTGGTTTTTTCTTTCTCTGCTTCACTAGGAGAATTTTGAATTGATGTGGAAGGTTTCTCTACCTCAACCGGCATCTTTGGTCCTTCRTAAGACAATCCACTTCTCAAAGTTACCGCCTTGCATTGCTCTWTTCCATCTCTTTTYRGAACTTCAGTATGCCCAGGAAAAGAGCCTTGTGGTCTCGCCTTCAAATCATTGGCAARTTGTCCCATTTGAACTTCTAGGTTTCTCATTRCCGCTGCTTGAGTTTGGATTGTGGCATTCTGGGATTGCATCAATGCATCATTRCGCGCCATGTACTCCTTAAACATGTTCTCAAGACTAGTATTGTTATTATGAGCTGGCTGCGATGGGGTTCTTTGGTTCTGATTATACTGTTGTGGTGGTGGTGGCATCTGTTGATTGCTTGAAAAAGTAGAAGGGACATAGGGCTGCTTATACTGCTGGTTCTGCCCTTGGGTCGCYCCACTGGAACTTCCTTGACCTCCCCAGGAAAAGTTGGGATGATGTCTCMACCCCGGATTGTACGTGTTTGAATAGGGGTTGAAKTTCCGATTSTTCCCGTGACCTACATAATAAAYAGAAGCTGGATTATGCGGACAATTCTCATAAACATGGTTATCACTACAATAAGAACAAACAATTTCATTAATTTGGCAAACAGGAGAAGCATATTCTGGTTGCAYGGGTGYARTTGGTGCACTCTTCCTTTCTAGGGCCAACTCCTTGAGCATTTGGTTCATCGTCRCCATTTCCTTYTGCATTGAAGTTGCTATGTCCAACGCCAATACACCCGCTTGATCTTGCTTCTTAGGGGCAGGTTTTGACCTTTGAGAACACCATAGCTCATTGTGGGATGCTAGGTCCTCCAAAATATCAACTATTTCGTTGAAGGTCTTCTTCGTGAAAGCTCCATTTGCGGCGTTGTTGAGCATCATCTTAGTGGGGTGGTCCAACCTCGGAAGAAGTGCTCGATTTGGATACATGCTGGTAATCCATGGTTCGGACACTTTCGCAGCAATTCTTTGAATCTTTCCCATGCCTCGTGTACTGGTTCACGATCATATTGTCTAAAGGTGACAATCTCTTCCCTGATGTCTGCATGGCGAGTAGGAGGGAAATACTTTGTAAGGAACTTTTCTACTAGCGAATCCCATATTATAATTGATCCTGGCGGGAACGAGTTAAGCCATGTTCTTGCCTGATCCTTAAGAGAAAATGGGAAAAGAGTTAACCTTAATGCATCATCAGTTATATTTGGAAATCTAAATGCACCAGCTATTTGAAGAAAAGTTTTGAGATGATCATGAGGATCTTCGTGTTCACGCCCCCCGAACTGTCCTAATGTCTGAAGCATTTGAAACATAAGCGGCTTCAGTTCAATGTTGGCGGCTTCTGGAATGGGATTTAGGATGACAGAATCCAAATTCTGGAATGCTGTGGCAGCATATTCTCGCATGGCTACGTCTCTATTATCTGCCATCAAGATATGATTGAACTCATTGTTTTGTTGTTGACCTGCCATATTTCCGTTAACAATTGGTGGATCTGCAGGATTTTGTGGTGGAATCTCATCCATAAAAGTGATGGTACTTTCACTCTCGCTTTCAAAATCTCTTTCTTTTTCTTTCTTTTTTTGCTTTTCTCTCTGTTTTCTGAGTCTCTGTTCTTTTCTCAACCTACGACAGGTTCTCTCAATTTCAGGATCAAATGGCAACAGAAATGAATCCGTGCTCATGCACTAATCAATGACTTTCGTGGTTGGATATAAATCAAAATGTTTGAGAACAGAAATGACAATCACAAAAACCGATAACAAAAATTAATAAAAGACTAAAACAAATGGTCCCCGGCAACGGCGCCAAAAACTTGTGGGGTATTTTGGATTCAAAATAAATGAGAGCGCAAGTGTACACTCATCACAAGTAGTAAAAACGGAACGAGTATTCCGAGTATCGATCCTCAGGGACAAATGAAGTCTTTTTATAGGAAATGTTAATGATCGGAGACTTTGTAATTGAATTTGGGGTGACAAATAATAAGGATAATGTTGGTTTTGATATTTAAAAACTCAATGCAATAAACCCAGCCCAATTACTTCAAATTAGCTAACAATACACAAACTTTTTCCAACTAGGCGCCAGGTGGCTCTCAGAAATTTTCTTCGGTTTTACTTCGCCATCTTCTTATGTCTAAGTGATTTTGAAGGTTTAAGTTCATTCCTAATATGTCTATTAGAAAAAARAARYTWAWTTWRKWARRAMCMAMCSKWAMCTTAGGTCGAGGTCCTWTGTCTAGGCTACCCGAGCGAAATCTTTATGTCTAAWGTATTCCTCTCTAAAGTTAAATCAGTAAAGTTGTGAAAACGTATCAACCCTTTCAGTATTGATGTTTGGTTAAAACATTAATTGGCCAAATCAAGTTCCAACTTATGGGAACAACTTTAAGTGATAAAATAGGAGAAAAACGCCTTTTGCCTCGTTGGATTTTAAAAAACTTTAATTAACTATCCATAACTGGGCTTGGGAGAAATAAATTTAGCTCATGATGATAAAGGAAAAACAAAATTTAATGTTCATGGAAGTAGACGACATAATTAAAGGATGAGTAGAATTAAAACAAGCTGGAAATTATGGAGTTGTAACCCGAATGACCCTAACCCGTTCTCTTTCAAGATTGGGGAGCAATACTCAGTCAATTCCACAAGGTTGTGTGATTACAACTTYGTAATGAGAATGAGAGAGATAAGAGTAACAAATAACTTGCTGGAATTTTAATTAAACAAGGCTAAAACTTACAAWTGAAGAATAATAAGCTGGAAAATAAAGGGAAAACTTGAAATAAGTAAGGTTAAAACAATAACAACTCAAAAACTTAAAGGGAAAACGAAAACAAGCTGAGAAGTAAAAGTTTAAAGCTGAAATGATCACTCCGGGATGATGAATGAAGAGAATGAATTGCTGAATTTATAGGGACTTCAAGGTGGTTAGRAGGTTGAGAGCTTTGTGGAGAGCCATCCATTGCAAACATCTTTTGGTTAGGTAGTTGTTGAATTGACARCCTTTAATGTATGGAAGACACGTGGCAGAGCTTTGGAAGGCTTCAAATCACACCAAAACGTGTGTTTCACATTAAGGGCAATCTCGGGATTGGGGAAGACGCCAGGCGCCTATCTCGAAATTTTTCTGCACAAAAGTGTAATTTTCGTTAAAAATCAACTCTAAATAATGTAAAAACGTCCTATGTGCATGTATAACCTAAGATAACTTAAAATGAAAGGTTTTGGATACTATAATAAGCTTAAAATACGATTTCCGAGTTTAAAACATTATAAAACAATACACATTTAGCTTCTTTTTACCCTTATGAACAAGGGAAATCAAATTTTATCACATATATTTTTATCTAAAGCACAACATATGATATTTATAGCTTCAGTATTAAAAGAAAGCATTTCATTACTTACTTTTAATTGAGATACATCATTTTCACAAACATACAAAATATCAAAATCAATAGATAACAAAAAAGTTTTCATTCTATGTCTCCAAACATCATACTTTCTACCATCAAAGAAAGGAGGTTTATCAATACATTGACATTGAAGAAAATCTAAAGTTGTCATAGCTCTAGCAATTAAGCTTCTCAAATAATTTTTCAAAAATTAACAAGATACTTAGTATCGAGATAAAAAATTTGAAAAATAATTTATGTAGAAGAGCGAAACCTCGCTCTGATACCACTTGTACTTAATCATGGGTCAACCCTGACCTATGTCACCATACAATGGCACCTATCAGAGTAGCAGGCAATCGTCTCCACCGGTTCACCCACACCAATGAGTGAAGAGTCCTACTTCGGTGACACAATCACAAACGATAGTTCTCATTGGTGCTATGCCCACATTAACGATACGAGACAACTCTCTATGATACCAATTGTTAGATCAGTATGACAACCCTAGAGGGGGGTGAATAGGGTTTAATGACAATTTATAAACTTTTTAATACGGTGAGCTCAATTTGAACAAATAAGTAAACATTTTATGAACAAATGATTTTAACACAAAATTAAACAACAAATTAAAATACAAACACCCTAATTAATTTCACCACCCAAATAATTCAAATATAAATATTGACCATAAACATGAATAACAAATTCGAACAATTAATTTCATGCAATTTGTAATAAAGAAAATTAATTGCAAAAATTAAATACAATAGAGTTAGAGGAAATGACATCGGAAATTTTATAGTGGTTCGGCAACAACCGGCCTATTCCACCCCCCAAGCGCCTCTTGGGTATTCGATTAAGAAAATTTGACTCTTTCCACGGTAGAAGTCAAACCGGTATAAAGCCTTCTTCTTTCGAGAGCAAAAAGAAACCCGATCCTTTCCATGGTTCAAGATCAAACCGTTACAACGCTCTTTTTCGGGCTCAAGAGCAACCTTTACAAAGGATATGGAAATCTAAGAACAAACTTACAAACTCTCTCAAGAGTGGGTATACAAATTTTTTGCTCACAAATTTGTAAGAAAAATTCTTACAAATAAAAGCCATCAAATGGCTAACAGAAATAAAATTGAATAGCTCAAAATCTCGCAAATAAAATTTCTCTCACAAGAAATTAGAACAACATTGAAATTTTGGAGAGATGAACATGAAGAGATTGGAGAGAAAATTGGAGAGGAAAGTTGTTGAAATTTGAGAGAATGAAAGGTTTAAATAGAGGAGGAAAAAGTTGGAAATAAATTTGAAATCCAAATTAAATTTGAGCCGTTAGATATTTAATGATTAAAATCAAAATGTTGAGATTTAATTGAGTAAAATAATAATTGATTTTGAAAATATAATATAATATAATAAAA